CACTTCAGCTGCCTCCTTTGTGCTGCTGCTGCTGCTGCACCAGCATCTGCTGCTGCTGCTGTTGCTGCTGCTCGGGGCCTGTATCGAACATCTGCGGTGTATATGCAGCTCCATAAATTCAGGTGTATACGCAGCTATAAGAAGAAGTTTGTTAGTGGGTGTTGCTGCTGCTGTTGCAGCCACCAGAGCTGCAGTATGCCGCTCCCTTTGTCTTTTGTTTTTTTATTTTCTTCTTTGTTTATATTTATATTTTGTTTTATATTCTCATTATTATTATTATTTATATTTGTGTTTATATTTATATTTTTGTTTTCTGTTTTTGTTTTACTTTCCTCTCTATCACTCACTGCTGCCTCATCCATACACCCCACGCTCGACTGCTGCTGCTGCTCCTGGCTGTCTACTGCAGCAGCAGCAGCAGCAGCAGCAGCAGCAGCAGCGGTAGCAGCAGCAGCAGCACTGCTGCTTCCTCTGTCAGATGGTGCATGAGTTGCTCCCCAGCCTTCTGCTTCAGCAGCAGCAGCAGCAGCAGCAGCAGCGGCCGCAGCTGCTGCTGTTGTTTCTGTTGCTGAATCGCACGTTGGTGCTGCTGCTGCTGCTTCTGCTGCGGATCTCTGACTGCCCGCAGCAGCAGCAACACCAGCAGCAGCAGCTTCTGCTGCTGCTGCTGCTGTTGCTGCAGCAACACCATCACGCTCTTGTGAATGCTGCTGCTGCCTTTCTTCTTCCCTTACACTACCATTCATCTTCGCGTCTCCAGCAGCAGCAGCAGCAGCAGCAACAGCAGCAGCCGCAGCAGCAGCAGCAGCAGCAGCAGCAGTTGCTTCTGTTTCAGCTGCTACAGATACAGCGGGCTCTCCATCTTGATCATCACATTCTATGAATTCTACCTTTGCTGCACCTTCTGCCGTTGCTGCTGCTGCTGCTGCTGCTGCTGCTCCCGTTGTTATTGTTGCTGCTGCTCCTGCTGCTGCTGCTGTTGCTGCTGCTGCTGCTGCTGCTGCTGCATGCACCTCGCTTGACTTTGGTTTTATCTTTTCTGCTTCCTTCGGCTGCACGCGCCGGCGTTTCTGCCCCGCCGTCCCAGCCAGCTGCAGCAGCAACTGCTGCTGCTGCTGCTGCTGCTGCTGCTGCTGCTGCTGCTGCTGCTGCTGCTGTTCGTTGTTTATAATATCCTGAAGAGTTGCTGCAGCAAGCAGGCAATCGAGCGGCAGCAGGCGGCGACCCGGCAGCAGCAGGCAGCCCAATGGCTCTGAAGGCTCTGCTGCTGCTGTTGCTGCTGCTGCTGCTGCTGCTGCTGCTTCTGTTTCTGCTGCTGCTTCTTCTGTTGCTTGTGCTGCTGCTGCTGATGCTGCTGCTGCTGCTGGTGGAGGTCTTGTGAAGGCTTGCTGCAACACAGTCGATCCATAGAGGCTCAACACCTCTCTGCTGCTGCTGCTGCAGAAGCAGGGGGAGCTGCTGCTGCTGCTGTGCTGCTGCAATGCCTGGCGATAGA